CTCCATGCCTCTCCCTCCTTCGTCACAACCTCACATCTTTCCGTCTCATCATTGTACTACATGTAACATACCTAGCGACGGAGTTTTCGGCGCACCACGGCATTGCGAGTGGACCTCGATAGTCCGCTGGCCGGTGCTTGTTTCTCAGATTGGATATCTGATGGAAGGATAGAATGTCATCTCCGAAACCATCTTGCATTACATGGGGTGGTTTGGAAATGCTTTTTGCGCGGATCGATTTGGATTCCGACTCAGTGCGTATTCTCTCTCGGCTGTATACTGGGCGGCGCAAAAGAAGCATTTGGTCTTTATGCGAGTATACCTTTGTAATGCGTTTCCTGCCCTCGCCCCAGATTGGCATATTCTATTGGTTTTTGCCTGCCACTTGCAAGATGTTTTGGTAGCAAAAGGCTAGGAAGCGGCGAGATTCTTTTGTATATTATTGCATTAAGCATAACATGAGTGGTGGAAGAAAGAATCCAACTAATGGACAAAGTTTACTACAGCATGGAATGCTGAACAAAAGTCATCCCTCAGAAAGTTCTTATCCCTCCAAACTCTGTTATCGCCCACGCGATTCGAAACAACGCGTACCACGTTTCTAGCACTGCCACAAGATGCAGGAACCCGTCCAATCACGCACGTGTTTCTATTCTTACTGTTCCTGACTAGCGTTTTAGCGTACCCCCTCTGGGGCAAGCGTCGCTAAGCTTGGCAAGCGTCCGCGTGTGCCGAGCCCCTTGCCTTGGGGATTAGGTCGAGACTCATAGAGCCGCTCTGCTCTTCTCTCTCTCTTCATCAACAGTCTTCGTTGTACAGTCATTCTTTTAGAACCGGTCTTTTACAGTCACTCTTTAGACTACACTATCGTTAATACAAAGTCGCCGTTTCTACCACCTCTCCGTTCACCTTTTCAACCAACCAACACTCCCACTTCAACCGCAACTATGCTCGGACGTACCGTTTTCGCTGCGACCTTCTTCGCGCTCGCTCAGTTCGCCATGGCTAGCCCCCCTGGCTGCCTCCTCGGCGCTGTCAACCAGTACGAGGACCCGTCCGACATCAAGGCTGTCTGCAAGTCCAAGGACCTGAGCTCAAAGGTGGCGGAGCTCTGCGGCAACGACGCCGAGGCTGCCATGGAGGCGATCGCGGACATTTGCAACGACGTGGATGTTGATGTTTGTAAGTACAGCCTTTCGCAGTGGATGCGCTGTTACACACCGGACGAGAAGATCAAGCACAGCAAACTCTACTTTCCATGATCGCATGCTGACAGGACCTGTAATAGCAACTGCCATCTCCTCCGCCTCCGGCTCAAAGACCGCTACCGGTTCATCCCACAAGCCCACCGGCACCTCTGGCTCTACCCTCGTCTCCATGTACCCTACCGGCTCGAACGGACAAGGAAGCAGCAACGGCACTGTCCCCGCTGCCACTGGAGGACCCAAGCCCTCTGGCAGCGCGACTGGCTCTGGTGGTCTCCCCGAGGCCACCGGTGCTGCTGGCAAGGTCGAGTTCGGCCTTGCCGCTGTTGTTGCTGGCTTGATGGTCGCTGCTTTGTAGATGGGAGAATGATACATGTTGCGAGTGAGATAGTGTGCAGATATGGAATAGATGTGGAGCATTGGGCTGTTTATCGAAAATGGAATAGAGGCGTAATTGCATAAACGGGAAGAATGCTGCACATCGTGCTACTCACAGTCACTCTCCTCGTGCGTTACTTCTGCTTAGTGCATATGCAGCATGCGATGCTTCGAATCTTACTAAAGTTCCGACATTGAAGGATGAAAGCAAACTCGCTCTACCTAGCAAGCCACAACAACAATCTACATGGGGCTATTCTCCTACTGCAATTTTACCCGGAAGCGTTGAACTCAGTAGTAGCGATTCTAGACCACCGCGAACGATGCCCGATATCCGGGGGGCGCGGTTATACGGCCACCACAAACAATTTCCACCACTTTCTCCAACAATAGACATTACCTAACTGCATGGTCGTATGTTGGGACCCAAACAATGCGCGCATTGCTACCGAGTTCATGCTTCCAGGTTTCACGAAGCCGCTTTCTGTTGTGGGTACTGAACAGAGAAAGTAGATGTGTGTGAACCGCTGGCTACGTGCCCCGCCTCAACCCCCCACCTTCCTTTGAGTCATATCTTGCGCCATGGAACCTCATTTCAAGCAGGATGCTGCTGGTGACTCCGATTATCCATGCAAACACTCTAGATAGGTCATCTTTGCTGCTAATATAAACCGTCATTTTTTCGGCTTAGTCATACATCAGATACAACCCGTATCTCTCCGGCAGAATGGCCGAGCGGTCTAAGGCGCTAGCTTCAGGTGCTAGTAGAGCAATCTGCGTGGGTTCGAGTACGTTCCCCAACAATTAAGACGTTGTGACAGTCACTAACAGCAGTATAGATCCCACTTCTGTCAACATTCTCTCTTTTTGCTCTTTTGAACACCACGGGATATCACAAGCGGGTAAGGAGTCGATGCGTTCTTTTTGAGCTCGTGACATGCGAGCTGTAGGACTGTGCTGTGATTTAGTAGACTACATAATAATGAATGGTTTTGCGTTTCTGCGTGCTCTCTATAGGGCTGATTAGCCCTTCCGCATGTACTACGTTGACTTTGATCAACAGCGACTACTCCACTCAGCATATGTCTAGAAGCGTGCGGTCAATTCCTCGAATTACATGTTAGGAATACGCTAGATACACAGTAAAGAATGACTTTATGTTTAGAAAGCTACATGTACAGATCGGCAGCTCCAAGCATAGTGGAGTATACATGCAGAAGAGAACAGCAGATGTGTAATCAAAGACACGGAGCAATAGGCAATCGAGTAATGTTCGTACGCGTTTGCACTGCGTACACAATGTTCTGCTACACCATCAATAATAACTTCATAAAAGAACATCCCGTGTTCCAGCCAAACAACCACTTCACTCTCTTCATGTGCAACTTTCCTGTCCTGTAGCGCCTTGCGCGCAGTATTCAGCTCTAAGACTACAGATGTCCTACGCTCCGCGAAACCTAGAACATAGGCAATCCCGTTCGCTTCTCTCAACTCCAGCGCCCCCGACACGTCCTCATGCCTGTAAGATGCCTAGTATGCGTTGCGATGCAGACTGACATTCTGACAGGCAATCGTGTAGTTCAGAGCATTCAGCTGCACATTCGCGTTGAATTTCGAGTAGGCGTGCGATCTCAGTCACGGCAAAACCATGCGCGCATCACATGCGCACCCATATAAGCCCGCCAAATGCAAGACTGGCACAACGCCGGACGCGTTGGTGGCAATCGAATCTGCAAATACTGCTTTAGTAAACCTCCAGGCTCGGTAGATGTTTTATAGTCGGCGCTTAGAGGTTTATTGATGGCCGTCTTTTTGGTCTAGTGAGGTTGAGTCACGAGTGCGAACGCAACTGCACACGCATATTACTGCACTCGGATCAGCTCCTGTCTCTTCGAGAGACTCTAAGCAGCGCCCTAAGATCTGTTGTCCCTAGGTGGAAAGCCCCCGCCAAATTCATATCTCTCGCGTAGTGGTATCTCCTACCCTCTGATCCTGGAGAGGGAATAACGGAAGTTTGTAGCAGGGAAATCGCGTTTGCGCCGTTCCGCTTAGCGCCGACACCCAGTGCATCGTAAACATTGGCTTAATATTTGGGAGAGGTGCAATTGGCTGCGCGCGAGTAAAGACGCCTAGTGCCTTCCTCGCACAGCCACCGTTATCAGAAGTAGTATATTCGAGTTGTGCGTTCGCGTATCAATCCGCTCTAGCATCTTGATAACCCCCATCGTCATACAATAGACGACCACGGTTCCATCAACTAGCTTATAAACGAATTCGATAGGTCTGTAGGTTTTTCGTGCTGTAGTCCCGTGCCCCTGCGGTTCGATCATGACACGTGAACCCGCTTTCTCGAAATGTTGCGACGAGCTGGTAGGGTACGAAGGATATTCAGCTCGACGCCAGGACCTCATTCCAATGGTGCTGTGATTCATAATGGCTGCTGGCAAGTTTGGTTGTGCAAATTTGCTTATCTCGAGGCCCGCCGTTCACGCATCCCAGAGTATCGTGACTCTTTGCCTTCTTCGTGATTTCATCTCGCTCCTTCTCTTCCTCGACAGAGTTCTCTTGGAAGTCGTGTTCCGGTGCTTATGGCAGGCACTGGGTTACAAATCTGCTCGCGGAGCGGCTCCTGCACATTAAGTGCGTCTCGCAGGTCTCGGCTTCCAGAAAATCTGTGTTGTGACTTGTCAGCGATGCAACCATCTGCTTATCCTGTCCGTGAAGCTGGCTCCGTTCCACTGTTGATAGGTGCGGAAATGTCCTCCTGACTGCTATACATAGCTACCTTTCCGTACCCTACTGTTGTGCCGTAATCAGTTCAGCTGTGATAGGCTCTACGCTGGTGCGTCTCGTCAACCACAAGTCCAACAATAAGTTCTGACCAGTGTCAAACTTGAGGTATTTTCATCTCGGTGTTTTGAAAGAAGGCGTGCCCTCAATTGGCCTCACTTATGCGCGTGCCCAGCATATTTTTCCTCCATGTCGTTGGGTCTCCAATCGTATCGTAGTGGAGTAGGAAGTTTCGTTCATGGAGGTAACATGGGAGCCCTCTGGTATTGCAAAGCAGTACCATCTCTTTCTTTCCAAACTGTCGGGGACTCCCTCTTTTAAAAGGTTGTTCCCTCTCCTCTCTCTTTCTCTTTCGTATCATCATCATCCGATCGAGCCATCCCAAATACCAAAAGCTTCCTGATCTTTACCATCATTACCCATCATTCCACTGTCGTTTGAAGGCCGCAGTACTCCCTCACCACAACTCATCATTTCCCATCACACCACCGTCATCATGATTATGAAGACACACACTGCCGGCGCCAAAAGGCAGGAATCCAGATTCTTGCAAGATTGGAGGCAACCAAACAGGACCTCTCCTCCGACTTCCCCTTCTCCTCCCACCACACGCCCCACTACGCCATCATGGCGGTCGCCATCAGATGATTCGCGAAGCCGATCATCATCAGAATCCTCTTCCTCTTCGTCCAACTGGAGGACGGGGTCACCACCTCGACCCATCCGCAATCAGGCAGGACTACCACCACCTGATGAGCTGATGGAAGGGGATATCGTCTACCTGACCCCAAAGACGATCCCAAAGTCCTCCATCATTAGGAGTCACGTAAACCAGAGCGGCTTTGAAGATCACCCTATAGTCGTCCTGGGTAAGGAGAGACGAAAGGGCACCATGATCGTCAGTTTCCGGCTGCTTACCACCTTCAACGGCCACACAGTTGAGGAGAAGAGACAAGGCGATCGAAGACATCAAAGAAAGTTCTTTATGATGGTTGATAACCATCAAGATAGGGTTAACTCCACTATCAACCCGGTAGCCAAAATGGCTCCAGGTTTCGATGCGTTGAAGAAACGGAGCTACGTCAACCTCTCTCGTAATTCTCGGTTCGAAGTAGAATACGAGTATCTCGAGGCCTTTGGAAAGGATCCACTGCGGAGGCTTGACGCCAAATCAGTCTCATATATCAAGAGCGCACGCTTCGACACCTAAATTCCTCTTCCGACAATGCCGAACGCCACCGATGGCTCATGCCTGAAGGTCCCCGGCTCTTTTCTCTCGACAATGCTGATCGCCACCGATGGCTTACGCCTGAAGGTCCCCAGCACCCTTATATCGACAATGCCGAACGCCACCGATGGCTTATGCCTGAAGGTCCCCGGCACCCACCCCAGCGTCAAGGTCCGAATCCCGAAAGGGTTGTCGTCTTCCCGGTACGCCTTGCGAAGTCGTACGGATCCGAGGTGCGCAACAACGACCTCCAGGCTGCACCATGTGCTGACAGAACTACAAGTCACAGTCTCATGTAGTCTTCTACCGGGCCACTGTAGCTGGGTGATCGAAGGATGGTGCGGACGCGGTTGGATTGTTGGAGTTCACAACGTCTGCTTGCGCCGCTGTAGTACTATAATAATTAATGTCTCATTCGTTAGATCTCTGCATGCTCGCTTCGTGATTGCTGCGTGATCGCAAATATCGGGTAATAAATGTGTCGGGGATGGATGTGTTGTGTGCGAGATTTGTGAGGGGACGTGTGTACGTCATCCCGCACTAACCACGGTTGCGCGGTCCCACTATTATCTGCGCGTACACACAACATCGACCTGAACTTCGCTCATTGTTGATGCAAACATCTTTCTGAGGTTACCTAGTCTTCTGATAATCTCAGCCCTACACGTAACCGTATCTATAGTGCTTCCTCATCCTGAGCTCAGTTTTGACCCATACTCAGGTAGTATCTTTTGACAAGCGCAACCGACAAAGGCGATGGCTACTGACGACTTGTTATTTCGATCCCAAACCACAATATACTCACTTGTTCTCGATCTACTATCGTTTGTCCTCGTTAGAGACTTTGCACACAACTTTTCTTTCTCGCCACTCGCTGAAGGGGACAGTTTCCACCACATCAAATGATCTCTCATTACCTACGCCCTGTAGCGCTGCTGCGATGCTCTTCCCCTTGATGCTTTAGTCCGTCACTCCTACGTTATCATACCCATGGCGACTGTACCACTAGCCACAAAGGGGGTCGACTGATGGCCTACGAATAGCCTCCCTTTCATCCGTTCATGGACATTCTACTAGTGAATACAAACATGACTGCGAAGGTAGTGGCGAGATGACAGCAGAAACTACAAGACTTACAGAGATGGTAGTTTTATGACGTTCACTTGCGTGCCTTGGCCGCTCCTCTCTGGGTCTCCTTATATCTCCTTACGCACAAGCCATTCATTGCTAACGCACCTAGAGTGTTCTCAAAAGCGCGTTCCAAAAGTACTTACACTCCTCAACTCCTAGCAAGGTCCTCGTCCACTACTTTTCTCACACCCAACTCTCGTTCGCTTCCAGGTCTGGCCTCGCCGAAACTTCGTGCGACCCCCTTTTTCCAGCAGTCCCATCATATCGTTCTAACAACCGCGCAGGGTCTCCTTCTCTTCGATACACGCTATCCGAAGTAACTTGGGCGCTGAATCTTCCTATATCTGCTACCATACTTCCGCAACCACAGCGCCCTTCAGCCCGTTAGCACGCCCTATTCAAACCACCTTACACCCGACATTCACCGCGCCTTGGTCACATTATCCCTACCTTCTGCTCTGAACACGTGCACGCCCGGATTTGAGCTGCTACATAGCTCTCGCACTCTCGCACTCTCCCTGCATCATAGAGTCAACGCTCACCACTTACAATCGGCGTACAGTTTCGACTGCGAAATTCTTCTGGCCCGGCCGCTGACGAGTCGATGGAAGGAGATACCGAAGACTTGTTTTCAGGTCTTGACTCTACGCACATAGTCGTCCAGTCACACGAGCGACCACACGAGCGACCACACGAGCCATCTGCTTCTCGACCGAACCTTGAACGTGCTTCATACGCTTACGATCATACCACGCACTCTTTCTCCGGCGGATACGAACTCGACGGTATTTACCCCCGCCGATTATTACACACTACCATCGCAAGTCAAGAGGAGCAGGTTCAAAACAACATGGGAGCTGATCAGTATTCTGGTATCGTGAACAGCACTGTCGACCGAGTTTGCAATGTGACTGAGCATGAAGCAGGCGCACTCCTCAGCGTGGACAAGGGGAGAACTTCCAATAGTCCGTCGAACACCATGAATGAGTCAGAGCACGACACCATGATGTACAGACTGAAGGAGCCGACCCAAGAGCTAGGATTGGAGCAACGCAGTCACGAGCCCGCCGTCTCCGATGAGCTCACGAGGCGCATACCAAAGCTGCCGCTCAGTGCGGAGGCACCCCTGATACCAAGTCTGGAAACGGAGTTTTCTACAGCGACGGAAGCGATGCACTCAAACTCGAGTGCGTTGACCAAGAACACGATGGAACATGCAGCTCCAACGTACCACTCACCGCCACAGCGACGGCATGTTATGTCTCCCAATGGGACAAGTCAGAGGCCTTTCTCCACTATAGGATCTTCTGTGTCTTCCTTTAGCCCTGTCCAGGACAAGACCCCGCCCCTTCGACGGACTCACAATCCCATTACCAGCACACCCGTTGTTGGTAAGGTTTACTTCATCCCTGATGGTGGTTACTTTCCTGCCTCAGTCATTCACATGCAGAAACAGCAAGAAGGCTTCTTCAAACATCCAGTACTTGTCACTGATGTAGATCATGACTTCGCGTACTTCTATGCTCTTACTAAATCCCCACCAGCTGCCATTGGAGAGATGGCGATGTGCCTACGCATGGGCAATAGTACAGCAGATGAAGGTATCTACACATTAAGACTGGCGAATGGCTCACTCCCCATGCAGACCGAGACATGGATGAACCTTGAACAGCGCTTCTACATCGAGTGTGAAAACTTGAATGATTGGGCGATTGATGTTCGTATCAACACGGATGATTTGTGGAAGCTGTTTAGGCGCATACAGGAACTGGAGGCACGCCAGAATCGTTTCCTCTACAAGCCGCTTCCACGAGACATGAGTTTATTGCAGCCTGGAACAGTCGTCATGTTGTCGAATAATCCGCAGTCATCGACTCTTGGCGCCCCTGTCCTCATAGTGGAAAACCAATACCCTTACCTCCGCTATCTGCGCATCAAAGAATTTAGCGACAACCCTCACTTCAACCCAACATCACGGCGCACTACTGGACCACCTCGTCATCGGTGTTTGGAAATCTGCAAGTACCCAAAATGGGGACATGATGGCACACCAATCATGTTGGTCGAGTCTGATTCCCCTGAGATGCGTGAGTCGTCTTATGTTGAGGTATACCCAGCTCCCAGTACAAGCACTTTCGACATGTGCAAGACCTGGTGCTGGCCGCCGGTAGTCATTCAATCCCAGTCGATGGCTGAACTTCGTGGTTATAGCTCATTCGTAGGAGCGCGCTTCAATTTCCAGACGACTTCACGGTCGCTATTTGTAGGGCCGACAAACCCCTTCCGCAACGGAGTTCCACAAACCCAACATGGCAACGTGGGATACCAGTCATTGCCACAACAACATGGCTACCAGGCAGCCGTGCCTCCTCCACCGCCGCATACATCGTTTGGGTTTCGCCAACCTGTCCAAAACAGTCAACTCACTGGCGTTTATGGAAATGCTGGCGCCCCGTACTCACCAAGCATGTATCAGCATTGTAAGTGACACACAGTCTACTCTGAATACAGCTGAGTGCTGACGTCAATAGGCCCTACTATACTGTTTGACGGCTATGGCCGCCCTTATTCGCACATGTAATTGTTCGCAATGGTTGGTTTGGAGAGGATGTTGATTCTATTTGGCCCCTCACGGTTCGGGCAGGATTGCTAGGTGATCTAAAAGTAATGTAAGAGCGTCATCTTGGTGAAGTTGTAGTTGTAGGAGCACTCTGTAATTCAGACGATCGTCTTGTATGACATCTCCTCATCGATCGTCGGTAGTTCTACTCTCTTGCGACCGCTTCATAGTGTTGATACCGGATTAATCGACATGTAGTCGTGTTCTCCGTGCCAATAGACGCAATGTGAGCACATCGGCTTTTGGTGGGTGTGCATGTTGTCAGGGCCTTGATATAACCCTCAAGCTCCTTCCTCACCTGCCGCCTTTGCCCAACTGCAGATACAACCACCCTCCCACTGAACCACATTACGTCATGAACAATTTCCTTCGTCCTCTGGTATATTGTGACTGCCGCTCTCTTCTCAGTAACCGCATTAGCCGTCACCGGTGGTACATTCGGCAGAAGGAGACACCGCAGAAGGCCCTCTCCCGTATCGTACATCAGGAGAGGAAGGCCAAGCAGCAGGTAAGGGACTGCCAGTACCGCTTACTCGTTTCGCAATAGCAGAGAGATTAGACCGCGAAGCCCAGAAGCTCGACCTGGATGCCGGAACTGGGCCTGATCGCCGCGCGCATCACCCGAGCCGCAGAAACGCCAGTAAACATTACCTTGCGAGACCCTTCTCTCACTATGCACATCCCTCCTCGAGACGAAGGCTACCCAAGACAGCATCGTTGAGATTGAAGGCCGAGGGCGGAATGGGTCCTTCGGCGACAGGCAACCGAATACGCTCCACGCAGTCGCCGACTCGAGTCAGAAACAACAGACTTCCTCACTCTTACGGTCTCATCCCACAGCGACTGTCGTTGAGGAGCGCCATTGTCGCGTGGCTACAGATCCTCGTGTAAAATCTTCCGATGCCACAAGCCACCAGGGTCGAGATTCGCTCTCGACGCTCGCCGCGGGATGCCTCAACCTACTATAGTTGACGATACCCGCCATCCACGAAGACACTAGTCAGCACTATCACGCCTTCGGTTCGCACCTTGTCGAAGGACCCGAGGTCTAGTCCTGTCTCCACAAACGCCTGAAGATCCAGAGCAGCTCGTGACCCGTCACGATCGAAGAAGCCCATCGCGACCCTCTTCCATCTTATCGTCTACCGACGCTCGCCGCCTCACCGACATTTCTACACCGAGCAGAGTGCGCTGCTAGCCCCACCTAGGAAACCATATGCGTCGAGGAAAA